TGCTACTAGTAGTAAGGCCAGGAGCCCCTAGTAGCTTCTTTGCTACTGTAAACTCACGAGGTCGCGGCCTATTTTCACACTCACAAACCCTTGTGCCTAAAAGGCGTCGAAAGCAGCGGGGTCAACTGGGAGTGATCTATTCACACTCCCAACCTTTACTGTTGACCGTGCTGCCTTTTAGTGCTTTCAAGTTGGACCACCAGCTCCCTTTTGAAGTGAGCTTCGTCAGACCATCCGCTAGCTGGTGGCCTGTGGGGATCCTCCTGCTGCGCCATTTGCCACAGAGCCGCTAGGTCCACCCGCTTCTCCGATGGTGCTCGCGGGCCTCCAGCGCGATGCACCGAGTCGTACAGACTTTTGCAGTCCGCCATCGACAGCAGCGGCAGCTCGCCCGGGCACACGGCCTGAAAGCACCCTCGAAGTAGGTCGCGGAAAGCCAGTCCTGCCTCCCATCCTTCCAAGGCTGCCATCGTTTCTGAGGCAAAGGTGCTCCGACATACCCTTTGACATGCATGTGACTTCCACGCGGCCACGATCCCGGCTCCGGTCCTTCCCACCAATGTGTCCCGGTGCGAAATCACCACCACATAGCCTAATTGGGGGTAGATGCCGGTGTCCTTGGTCTCGATGTAGTCCTCTTGGTTGTACTCGTCGGTCACATTGGCCCAAGCTGCGGCGTGGTAGACGACGATCAGCAGGTCATCCCAACCCCCCAGCTTATTGTAGACGAGCTTCTCGTCCTTCTCCCTCTGTGCCATCTTCACTACATGGTTGGTCTCCTTGATGTCCTCATAAGTTGGCGACTTCTGTTTTCTCTGGGCCATTGAGACACCCACCTGGATGTCAGGCCTGGTCTGGGATGCCAGCCAAGATAGTGCTCCGATCGTGGACTGGTTATCCATCTTGGCCACTTCGTCTGCCTGGTCCGAGAGCTATACCCCTTTTGGGATGTCCACGGTTTATTCGCGGGTGTTCACATAGTGCTCCTGGCGCAAGGTGACCTGCAGGTTGTCTTGCTTCGCTGTCACCCCACAGTACTCCAGCCCGCCAGATGCTTCCTCCCAGGCGTCTATCGGGAACACCCCCTGCTCCAGTGCTTTGCGAATGGGTGTTGGAGCCGTGACCAGGATGTCGTCCACGTGTGTAGCCAATAGGCCGAACAGCTGATTGTCCTTGTCAACGATGAGGAATAAGCAGCTGTCCAACTTATGTTGAACTAGTTGTAGTCGTCCATGAGCGGTTTCAATGGTGACCTCCAGGAGTGACTGGGCCAGTTTGTTCCACAACAAAGCCTAGGCGATGTAACCCAAATACCCCTTTCACAATCTCGATCAGGCCGCCGGGTTCCACTCCCTCCAAGTCATTGGCAGGTGGTTCGAAGTAGAGGTCCCTCCTGGCCTCGACCCCGTACAAGAATGCTGCTTCGATGTCCCCGGCAGTCAATGTCCACCCCATCTGAGCCGTGAGGAAGACGAGGCACGTTATCGAAGTCTTGGTTGCCGTGGGTGCCTCCGTCGTGAGCTGTCCGGACTGTAAATCAGGATCACGATGTCCTCCCACGCAGAGGCGTGCTTTTGCTTTTGGCGGCACACTTGGATCTTCGCGTCTCTTGGCACAGTTCTTGTCTCTGTAGGCGAATCTGGCCCTGAGGATCCGGCTCTTGTGCACTCTTTTTTTTCTCTCGATGCTTCTTGTGCCCCGATGATCCTAATGGCTTTGTACTTCAAATGTTCCTTCCATTGCTTTGTTTCGGCCTCCTTGTAGAGGTGGACCTCATCCTCCGGGATCTGATTCCACTTTAGCTCTTTGTCTGCTTGCTTTTGGAGAGCTCGAGGCACTCTCTTCTCTGAAGCCATATAGCAGAGCAATTCATGGTCTTCTGGAACGGGAACTCGTTCAGCCTCAGGCATCATAGCACAGTACCCCTTTTGTCGCACGCGCCTCTCAGGCGCTGACAAATCCGCCGGTCTTTTGGCCCCAGTGCTAGGCTCCTCCTCCATGAGTTCATCTCCAGAGGGCATTGACGGAGTATACTCCATATCTTCCTCTTCATGTGGGGGTCCGGGGTCTCCTGTGGCGTCCGCGAAGACCTCCTCGTTGTCGGCTTCCATGCCCTCGATGAGCTTGATGAGATCGGACCTTACCGCCTTAGCCTGAAGTGTTCCCCCGAGTTCTTCTGATTCAGCCAGGCGAAGATGTTCTCGAACGCATAAAAGACACCTTCCTCCACGTGACACCCAGAAGTTCTTCCCTTCTTGTCCCACTATGACTCCTGGACCGATCCACTCGCCCACTTGTTGTCTTTTGCGTACCCCCCTTCCTGCCACCTTTGAGGTCCTGTAGAGGTAGACGTACTGCCCCTGAGTGAAGTCTCCATGTTGTACTCTGGGCCTGCCGTGGATGGCACGTTGTGGGCTCTCCGAGGCTTGATGAATGTATGTTTTTGTAGCTGTACGTCTGACCTCATTCTTTCTGGTCCACTGGTCTTGCGTTGGGATGAGGGACTGTCTCTCCGTGTTCTCCTCCTCATCATCCAAGATGCCCACCCCCAGGCGAGGTGCAACCCCAAAAAGCCATTGCGCAGGGGAATAGCCGTGTCGCCGTCGAAGGTAGTTCTTGGCTTGGGCGACTGAAGCTAACACCCACTCTACCTCATGGTCCTGCATCGAGAGGTGCTCCTTGACCCTGATTGTGCACCTGTAGGCCATGCTTTTCCAATTCTTCGGGGAATTCTTTCATGTGCCCCCTCTCTTGATCAACCAGGGTACTCTGGGGCGCCCCCGCCCATGCTACCCAATTCTTCAAGAAACTCTGGGCGTAATCCTCTGCCTTTTGTCCCGGCACTGGAGCAACCACATGGTATCCTGACCCAATGTCCATGATGGAGAGGACCGTCACCTTGTTCCCCGAGAGGTCGTAGTAGCTTCTTTGCTACTAGTAGTAAGGCCAGGGGCCCCTAGTAGCTTCTTTGCTACTAGTAGTAAGGCCAGGAGCCCCTAGTAGCTTTTTTGCTACTAGAAGTAAGGCCAGGAGCCCCTAGTAGCTTCTTTGCTACTAGTAGTAAGGCCAG